TATGTAATTTCAAACAATATTTTGTAAGATTATCAGTGCAAAAAAAGAGATAATTAAAATAAGGTTTAAAAAACACTACAGGCAATTTATTGAATAACATTAATGAGATAATCATGGGTAGCAGGCTAACATTAATCTAATGATGATGGACAGCAACATCTGCTTAATGAAGTTACTCAAGACATCGCTAGCTGCATTTAACAGAGAAAATGAGAAATGATCTGCAATAATATGTACACAATCATAACCATGAAGTATACAATCACATTAATGAAGTATACAGTCACACTAATGAAGTATACAACCACATTAATGAAGTATACAATCACAATAATGAAGTATATACTCTAACTAATGAAGTATATAATCACATTATTGAAGAAATACTCACCCTAATGAAGTATGCAATCATGTTACTGGAGTATATACTTACAATAATGAAGTATATAATCACATTAATGAAGTGTATTCTCACATTGATGAAGTATACAACAACATTAATGAATGAAGTATACAATCACAGTAATGAAGTAAGTAATTATGTGCACATCTAGTGTAAGATTAATAAAGTTCTGCTAGACATTCATACTACTACATTAATGATTGAATGATTAGTTGCACACTAGTCATGGAGACTTATACTGTGGCTTTTTGTTTTCAAGAGTCTCTTGAAAACATAAAACTTACTGAAGGACATCTCTATGGCAACAAGCTAAAGCTGACTGAGATGAGGTTAGTTCAGCTGACTGAGGTTAGTTCAGCTGACTGAGGTTAGCTCAGCTGGCTGAGGTTAGTTCAGCTGGCTGAGGTTAGTTCAGCTGACTGAGGTTAGTTCAGCTGACTGAGGTTAGTTCAGCTGACTGAGGTTAGTTCAGCTGACTGAGGTTAGTTCAGCTGACTGAGGTTAGTTCAGCTGACTGAGGTTAGTTCAGCTGACTGAGGTTAGTTCAGCTGGCTGAGGTTAGTTCAGCTGGCTGAGGTTAGTTCAGCTGGCTGAGGTTAGTTCAGCTGGCTGAGGTTAGTTCAGCTGGCTGAGGTTAGTTCAGCTGGCTGAGGTTAGTTCAGCTGGCTGAGGTTAGTTCAGCTGGCTGAGGTTAGTTCAGCTGACTGAGGTTAGTTCAGCTCACTGAGGTTAGTTCAGCTGACTGCTTGGGTGGGGTCAACAAGCCTCAAAAACCTCACAGACCTTCTGTACTCTTAGCACTAAGAAAGCTTCTCTACAATGTTCAAGTCACGTCTCCTTTGTCAATATTTCAACTGTCCACAGCTGTGTACAGCAAGCACATGCAATGTTATGATATTATTCTACTTGTGTCATTTACAGCCACCATAAAATTCATTGTTTGCTGAACTCACTGTTGCTCAGTGGCATCATGAGGGCTAATAGACTGAAATGCTTGGGGTAAAAACTGTGTAAACAAGGGAGCTGAATAAACCGTGAGGAAGACCAAGAAAACAGTGGAGAGATAATTTACAGGCAGACCTACAAACACTTGATGACATTAACTGGGGGGAGAGGACTAATCACAGAGATGAATTGAAGTGGCCGATGTCTGCATCAATGATCCTTAAGGGCTCAGAATGCTGAAGAAGCAGAAGAAGAAACAGAGGAACTAATTTATAGAAGACTAGACTACTAACAGAGATGCCCTAGGGCAGGGAAAGTGATTTATTGCAAATCAATGTTTAGTTATTTGCCTACTCATCATCATCAAGTGCTGTAAGATATAACACAGGTATATAACACATACGGTCTTTCTGACAGTTTACTCATCAGTAGCTTTTATCCCTCTATCTGAGACCATCCAGCAGTATTTCTCTCCCCCTGCCTCGGACTCTCCCCAATCTAATCGTACCAGCCATCACAATGTAATTCAACGCTTCTCAGTTCTCAATCTGTACCTTCTTGTGACATTGTCATGTGACAAATGTTCAACCATTTTTAAGTCCCAAATGTTAGTACTTTGAAGTGTGGAACAGTGTGAGCTATAGTAACAACTGGCTAAAAGTAGGCTAAAAAATAACTGCCTGACGATTCAAAATTAAAAAAAAAATGGAGACTTTATGTAGTCACTAGGTGGGACTTTAGACACTGTCATAAGTACAACATGCAAAGAGTAAACAACAGGTGGTGGTGGTGGTGTGGGCAATGAATAATCAGATAGGCTGGCTGGAACTAACACCACATCAGAAGGCCATCTACAAGACTGAGTTGATATTATGATCACTTTCATAGAGTTGAGCTGAGATGAAGATGTTCAGCTTAACGAATTCCCATCACTAGTTTGACTGCAAATATCTGGACTGAAAGTGAGTGGTGCAAACAAAGACCTGCACACCAACCACAAACTGAGTGGTGTCAATAAACACTGACTGCACCACTGAGCACTGACAATTGCTGAACTTGGTTGGCAGGGGGATCAGAGCACCTACAGAAGTATCTAGAGCAAGGAGGGTAATCCTCACAGAACAAACCTGAGTGGGTTGAACATCCCATTTCAAATTTCTGATTTCTCACTTGATCTTATATTAGATTCAACACTTTAGAACACGCTGATTATATTTTCAAAAGTTGTTCATTAGTGAATAACAGCCAGGGGGCTGCGTGGTCTTGAGGTATGGTGTCAGCCTCCAGTGCTTAGGGAAATTGTTTCACGTGGCCTTGGACTTCTAGTAATTCCCCCTGGTCTCTGGGTAGTGAGATCGGACGCCCGTGTGCATTGTTGTGCACGTTAAAAAAATCCTTTGGCAGTTGGAAATCGAAAAGAGTAACCTAACGGCGCTGCCTGGACAAAAATTAAAAGTTAAAAATCTACCCAAAGTATTTCAGGGTCCATACCAGTGCTACAGAGCTTGTGCACTGTGCTGAGCTTCTTCAGACTCAGACCTGAGTTAGAAGAAGAACTAAGCACCAATGGGTTACTACCCATGTGCCATGATGTTGATCTGTTGTTCAAACCTCAAACTACTCATTCACAGGTGATACCTGCATCTGATCCTGAAAACAGTGACCTGGACAAAGGCTCACGTAAGCTGAAGGTACTCTCTCCATGTGCAGTCTTGGTCTTGGTTTGATGGGGGGCGGGGGGGGGGGGGGAGGAAACAGACTCACTGCTCCCCCCCTTCCCCCTCAACAAGGATGAATAAGGTGGTTAATTAAAGGATCACTTAAAGCGGATCTCCTGAGTCTAAAAATGCAGATATCATACCCTACCTGTAAACCACAACACAAAGTGCCAATCACCTTTTTTTATGGGCAAATGCAGAAGAAGACAGAGGAGGTGGTGCTCAGTCAAGCAGGTGATGAAACAGTACATTGGCTTGCTGAAAATGTCATGAATTTACAGAAGATTAATGAATGAATGAGCGAGGAGGAGTAGGAGAATGAGGAGGAGTAGGAGAATGAGGAGGAGTAGGAGAATGAGGAGGAGTAGGAGAATGAGGAGGAGTAGGAGAATGAGGAGGAGTAGGAGAATGAGGAGGAGTAGGAGAATGAGGAGGAGTAGGAGAATGAGGAGAAGAAGAGGAAGCTGTTGATGAGTGTTTGATAAATAACATACATACAAAATGTTTCCCAAACTTCAATCACACTCTCGTACACCCCCTCCCTCCCCCTTTCCTCAAGTGACTAGATTAGGACAGCAAAAGTCACTGTGACTTTATCTTTAAACTTCTGATAAAAACAAGATGTGTGACATGACAATATAGTGACCTGTGTGACGTGACAATAAAGTAACTAGTGTGATGTGACAGACAGGAATGGAAGTAATGATCACTTGACTACTGTGACTACTAAACTATTCTACACAATCTAGGACATATTATATGAAACAACAGATCTCAAGGTTTCAGTGTCAACATACAAATCAAAACATGATGCAGAGGAACAAATACATGATATTTTTCTCAGATATCAAGCAGGAACAGTGGAAGAGGGACTAATCATTTTGATTTTGTTTGCAATGAAAAGTAAACCTGTTTGTTTCCCTACTATGATATTATCTGTAGACACTGAATGACACACTTCTCCCTATATGTTGCTCCAACAACCATTTACCTATATCAGTATATTATAAAACAATTATGCATGTTAATATGAAATCGACAAATACATATTGCTCCAGTCTCTAGTTTCTCACACTCTTTAGTCTCTCATATTATCAATTTTTATTTTCTTACATTCTCTAGTCTCTCACAGCATTTAGTTTCTCCTGTTATACATTTTTTTTTCTCTCAGTCTCTCTTTCACATCTCTAGTCTTTTACATTCTCAGTCTTTGATATCTGTAGTTTTATTAGTCGCTAATCTTTAGTCTGTCCTCTAGTCTCACACAATTTCGAACCTCTCACAGTCTAAGACTGCCTTTCATCTGTCTCTTCACAACTTCTAGTCTCCCCTAACCCCTACTTCTCCCCTCCCCCACCCCCTGAATCTCTAGATCCCCTAAATCTAGAATCACCAACTTCTAGTCCCCCCCCCCCCCACTCCATCCTCTCTAGTATCCCTCAATCTCTAGACTCCCCCAGCCTCTAGCCTCTTTTCTGATCTCTAGTCTCCCTTAATCTCTCACAGTCAGTATCTAGTCTCTCATCATCAACCTCCCCCCCCCCCCCACCCAGGTCTGTTCAGTGTTTTAAGTCTCTTGAATTTCCTCTGTCTCCTAGTCACTGCTTTCTGACAAACTCAGTCTCCAAACTTCCACAGCTAGATAGAGCTATAGTCTCAATTCACAGTCTTAAATGTGCAGTTTTCATTCTCTTCATAATTTTCACAGCCTAAAATCTCTCACAACCTGATATCTCTCACAACCTGAAATCTCTTACAGCCTGAAATCTCTCACAGCTTTATGACTAGCAGTCTGAAGTCTCAAAACCCAAACAGCACAGTCGAAAGCTACACAGGAAATGTTCCACTCCAAATATAAAAACATGAGAAATATAAACAAGTCACTGGACTGCCCCCACCATCAGGCTGCTGTGGTCACTGAAGCCAGAGAATCTTCAACTCTGAGCGGCTGCCTGTGGGTCACATTGTAGTAGCCGCACAATGGAAGGGTCACTCTTGGCTCCTTCGATGAACTCATCTATGGACAGTCTGCCGTCCAGGTTCTTGTCCATCTGTCGAAAGATTTTATCTGTGCGTTTCTCTGGTGTCGACTCATCCTCTGGCATTTTCATAACAGTTCCTACCATTTTGTAGATTGCCTGGTTGTAAAAACAGAAAGAAGTTAGTTAGATATATGCAGAATGACACAACAGCAACAAGTTAATTTAAAAAAAATGATAAAAGAAATGCAAGATGTGATCAAATAAAATGTATCCCAGTGGTTTTTTGTGATTATAAATATAAACAAAGTACAGAAGCAGACATGGCAGAATAAAACAAAGTATAGAAGCAGACATGGCAGAATAAAACAAAGTATAGAAGCAGACATGGCAGAATAAAACAAAGTATAGAAGCAGACATGGCAGAATTAAACAAAGTATAGAAGCAGACATGGCAGAATTAAACAAAGTATAGAAGCAGGCACTGCAGAATAAAACAAAGTATAGAAGCAGACATGGCAGAATTAAACAAAGTATAGAAGCAGACATGGCAGAATTAGACAAAGTATAGAAGCAGGCATGGCAGAATAAAGCAAAGCAGGTGTTAGAAAGCAGGCATGGCAGAATAAAGCAAAGCAGGTGTTAGAAAGCAGGCATGTAAATGGGATGGTCAAAAGAAGTCGCTGAAGGCATTCAGACTTGCATATGGCTGCTCTGGGAGAGGGCGGCTACTCTGCAAAGGACTTCTTTATCTTCTTCACATTCACTAGCTGTATGTTCTAACCAAAAGTTCTGTTTGTACGTCCACTCCTGGACTCTAGTCTATTCCAGAACCTAATTTTGCAAGCTCAGTTATTTTACAGATCTGGCTTATTTTTATGCAGACTGTTGGTTCCTTGCCTCTTAGGTAGAATGCACTCAGATTTCAAAGGGAACCCCTAATAAGACAAGTCTTATTACAAGCTTGTTAGGAAGGCAATGGCTTCACAATGGGATCCAAGACCACACAAAGGGAACATATAAGCACCAAAAGTTAAGAGGATCGATTTAGTTTCATGCCGTGTAATTCCGAATAGCTCTGCCTATCTCCGCAGAATGGCTAGCCGGCTCTCTAGAACTCTGCGCAAAGCACAAATTCAGTAGCATTAGCAACAATAATCCATGGTCTTCAAAGCACAAGCCAAATGGATTGCCCACTTTGACACGGAGACTACAAAGAGGCAGGACTTCAGCTGCTCATGGAACAGTCTTGTCGTAGTTGTCTTGTGTAGGCACAGAATCATTGTCAAATAAGAGCTTACTTTACAGGTCAGAACCAATTAAAATGTCAACAGAGACTATAGGATAGGCAGCAGTCGTTAGGTTGAGAGAGATGATCAGATGGTACAATGAGCCTTAAAAGTCCTTCTTTGGGAAAGACCTTGTTGGCAATGACCTTGACCTTGGTGGCAATGAACTGGACCTTGGAGGCAATAAAATGGGCCTTTGGTGGCAATGAACTGGAACTAGGTGACAATGACTTGGTTCTTGGTGGCAATGAACTGGACCTTGGTGGCAATGAACTGGACCTTGGTGGCAATGAACTGGACCTTGGTGGCAATGAACTGGAACTAGGTGACAATGACTTGGTTCTTGGTGGCAATGAACTGGACCTTGGTGGCAATGAACTGGACCTTGGTGGCAATGAACTGGACCTTGGTGGCAATGAACTGGACCTTGGTGGCAATGAACTGGACCTTGGTGGCAATGAACTGGGCCTCGGTGGAAATGACTTGGGCCTTAGTGTCAATGAATTTGGCCTTGGTGGCAATGAACTGGACCTAGGTGGCGATGACTTGGGCATTGGTGGCAATGAATAAGACATTGGTGGCAATAAGCTGGACCTTGGTGGCAATGAACTGGCCCTTGGTGGCAATGACAATGCCACAAGTTATTTAAAAAAAAGTTGGTAGCGACTCGAAGAAGAAGAAAAAGAAAATAAGAAGAAAAGGAAGATGTAGAGGAGGACGATCAATCAGGGTGATTCGTAGTTTATGTACTGCGACAAGAAGTTCCAGATGGCACCTGTCTGGAGAGAGAAAGCCTTCGTGGACACATCGGTGCGTGAGCTAAAGGACGTTCACAAATATACAGACTACCTACAATGAAATCGGAGCTATATGTGTGAAGTTCTGAGCGCAGCACCAGGAGAATATCAATCCAGAAATAAAGTTAAGCAAGCAGAGAATATTCTTCTTTCCTGTATCATCTAGGAGATTTCAATCGTGCACTACTTCAAACAGAAACCAGTAAATGCAGACTTCGGCTTTCTATAAATGTTCTTAGAATACCGTTAATCATAGAAAAGATAAATGTTGGCATTTTACAAGTGTAGGACTTCAAAGAACATTGACCCATACATAAATCAAATATTTAAAGCAGCGTGTACCGGAAACGGAAATACTTGGCTCTAATGACAACAGATTGATTTAGGCAAAAAAGTCGCAGGGAAAAAACGAATCGGGGAATTTAACAGTGCCATTCTTCTAGGCGTTGACCGGCTGTAAACTCCGGTGGAAGGTTCTGTCCATTCGTCCACCCCTGGACTGTAGTCTTGCTCAAGAACCTGATTGTGACATGTACCCCTGTTGGTGGCTCCGGGCCTCTCATGCAGATGCACTCTGACTTCGAGGAGCTCCCAATCAATCCGCTTTTCAGGCATCTTAATCCGATTATAAAAAAAAAAAAAAGAGAGAGAGAGAGAGAAATTTGAAGGCACATAAGCAAAAGGTAGACATCGGCATAAGTAGGAAGAGATCAACAAACAGGGATCAGTCAGAGTAAATAAAAAGGCGAGAGGCATTGCTGGAGTATATATTTTTACAGTCTTTATTTATGGAGACGGCACATAAATGATTGAAGAAAAGTGAAGGAAAGTAGTGGTTAGTCAGAATGAATGTGGACACTGTGGGTACACACACGCTCCCACCACTTCCACCACCACACACAATGACGGTTGAATCTCTTAATGTGTAAAGCTTTCGTGATTGTTCCATTTAAGTTTTCTTCTCGTTCGTGATTGTTCCAAGCAGTTATCTCTTCGTCTTCAGCATGTTCCCAAAACATCGTCGGATTCAGGTAGTTCTGCCAGACACGCAACGTTTGGTCTGTATCTCGGAGTTATATTTGGGCACAGATGGGCAAGATACCGGCTTACACACAACGGCACGGGCATCAACACTGCAAGTTTTGTTGTCTGATGTGAAGCACTTTGGCAATATTTAAATCTTTGTGCGGATAAACCAGTACAAGAAATCTATTTCTGGAATTATCAAACACTGTTTGACGTCATCCAACAGGGCACTAGCTGCAAAACCATGATAACATCAGCGTCTATGGTTGCGCTGGAGATCAATGATCGAGACTGGAAAATTGCTCTGTTATGGCTCTGATCTAAAAATGATCGATTCTTGTAGCTGCAACAGAAAGGAGCTTTTCTCAATATAGATTCCCGCGACATTATGACCTACAACTTGGAGCAGAGCTTTCCGAACAGTTCATGTAAGGACACAATTTTTAGACATACATAATTTTGCATCTCGTCTAAGACGCTGAAATGTGAAGGCCATATCAAGCGCCACGGCGGATTTGAATTAAAAAAAAATAACACAAGAAGGCATGTACCAGGAACGAGGGGCAAGGGGCGGACCAAGACAAAGATGGACATAAGTTATATGTGACTACTTGGACATGAAAGTGCACGAGGCGGGAGAGCTGGCGGGAGACCGAGTTTCAGGGAGACCGTGATAAGATGAGAGCGACGTCTGCAAAGTTTAATCTACATGATGATGATAGTTTCGCGACATAGTAATTTCGAATACTGGCAAATAGATTTAATCAACCTTTATATAGAGACACGGACATATACAGTAACAGTCAGAACAATTTTCACAACACAACCTTTTCGAGAATACCTGAAAAATATATCATATTTCTAAAATTAATGTCCTTTTATAATTTACGAGAGAAAAAATAATTAAAACGAAATTTAAACCACCAAAAATTGGAATAACACCAATAACCGAGGTGTTGAGTGCTTTGCGTGCAAATGATTCTGCCTAACGCTTTACGTTCGCGTGACACACAATACTGCTGCGGACACACTAGTATTAAGACTTGGATACTGGAAATCCAAATATACCGCACCCTTATCTGGGACTGCTTTCAGGAAAACACATCAGACCACTTCCTGCTAACACGCATCCTTTATAAACAGGAAAGAAAACCCCTGGAAGACTGTTTTAAACTAAACAACTCATTGATATCCAAGGAATGCTTACATATTGACAGCAATAAGAACATTCAGAAACGAGTATAGAAATTCATTTGCAGTTCACGTAATAAAATATGTCTCTATAGATACAAATATAGTAAGACAGAGAGGTGAGGTGAGAAAGGGGAACTGAGGAAGCAGAAGGAATTGAATTGTGGGGAAACAACCCAAACTGGCCAAGACTGCTTAAATGTCCCCTTTTAGTAGGGATATTGACAAGGTGTCATATATACTTAACAAAATACCCAGGCTAGTAACACACAGTTTGGAAAGCTCCGACTAAGAGTCTTAAACCGTACGGGGATGAAGGACTTTAGGTGTGTCTGGAACATTAACAGTCAAGCAAGGGTCATAGCAGGGTTCGGAACGTCCGGCTTGTGGGTCGGCACAATCATTTGATCAGGTCCTGAAAAATTCACTTGGAACTAAACATTTGACCAAATATCATCAAGTGCCTCGTCGACTGGGGTGGGTGATCATGCCTCTCCACAATCTGCGATCGTCAGCTGCCTGTGTCTGTTCGCGTACTGACACCCGTTCAGGTCACGACAAAAGGCTGTCAGGAAACTTCTCGCATTGTCTTCCCCTGCTTTCCTGAGATGTTTACAGTGGTCACAACACATTCCAGTTTCTCCTCTTCTGGCAACATGACACACAAATAACGACTGCCTGTCTTCAATGTCTTAAATAAGTTGTTTTCGAGAGCTCACCGCTTCCAAAACTCTTCTTGGCTTCCTTAATGGTGTTTCTGTTTGAAACTGTTGTCTTCGCTTTTTGAACAAACATCTTGATGATTGTGGTGGTTAAGAAGGTTGAGTCGATGTGCCCTTAAAAGTCAAAATTATAA